CTTTTAATGATATCATAATTGGCCAAAAAGGAGAGCTATTTTTGATTAGTCATAGGCATTAAAATGACATGTCAAACGCTTGTGATAAGAAGGATATGTTCTGCTTTTTTTTTTTTTTAGGTTTTATTATTTTTTCTATTCTTTTTTTCTGTTCGGATAATCCGTCTTCTTGTCGCCAGGATGCTAAAAAAAAAAACAGATAAGCCATCAAAAACTGATAAACTTTCTTCTCAGAGAGGAAAGTGAAGAGTGAAAGATGTGTAAGGGTACATTTTACCTGGAAAAAAAAAATCTTTACTTTATTACGATATAGTGACGTAATTAGAAACTGCATTAAAAATGGTACTGTAGAGAGAAAACTCGTTTATCTTATCAATGTAAGTATTATCTTTTTTGGTAAACTCGTTTATAAGTATTACCTTTTGGTAAACTTTGCAAATCAAATTAACAACTGTGAAATTCTTGATTACTTATTAATCTGATATAAATGATATTTTATGCTTTAACTATTCTTAAATTCTTGAATCGAACTGAAAAAAGAATGTATTGTCTTTAAGAATTCCATGACATCAAAAGCTGTCATCACTTAAATTAACTTGCTAGAAAAAATTGAAAAAAGACCTAAAAGTAAATCAGTCGTTCTGATATTAAAGCATTTAATAACTTAAATAACATTCTAATATTAAAAGTAGTCTAAGATTGGCTTTAGATAGCAGTTACTCATGCAGAAATAAATGTTACTTTCTTAATCCAAATCCAGAGTGACGTATTCATTGCAGCTAAAATTTCAGCAGATGATTTGATTGCATTTTTTTCCCACTTATTTTCTTCCACTTTTTTTTTTCTCACCTTGCAATGACTATAGGTAAATATGTAAATAAGCAATTAGCAATAAAGAAAATAATCAATTCACTGATTTCAAGCAAATTTTGTAGTATTTCAAAATTTTACATTGAAATATTTGCTGTACCATAAAGTTACTTCCTTTATTATACTTACTTCTCGTCTTTTTCCTTAGCTTATCAGTTTTATTCAAGAAAATCTTGGATAAGAATTTCGAATTATCTACAGTAATAATTCCTAGAAGTAAATATTTTGATTGTAGCAATAATCATTAATTTAAACGTTTTTCATTTTTTAATACAAAATCATTTTCATTTTCGATACTATGAAATAAATTTGAAACTATTTCATTTCTACGATCAACTTTAACCCAATAAAGTAGCAATTATCCGTCAATGATTATTCGTTTTGCTCTCTTATATTTGCCAAAATTGCACAATTCCTTGAACCTTCACCCTCTCTTCTCTCTAATAGTCCATAAAATAGGGTTGAATGATGATCACTCATGTACTCCTCAATTAAGTTCTGTTTATGATATTCTAATTACTTGCTGTTTGTTTAGTCCTTGATAGTTAATACTTCACTTTTCATACCATCCATCATTAAATAACTTTTGGAAAACTCTGAGTAATTTATAACAGTTAATACTAATAGTAAAAGTAATCTTATTCAAGAAACTTATTTTGAATTAAATACATTTGGTGAAATAAAATTTTTTAAATATTACAATGTTAGATTAGATTATTTCATTCATCTTATTAAACTTTTGTTTATGAATTATTATTTTTGCATAGCATTTGATTTTAGTATAACACATTGGAAAAGTATTCTGCAAGATAAAAAATTGCAGACTTTTATTGAAAATAGTCAAATTATTTGTCAATTGATGTCAGCTATAAAGTAATGTTTGCATTTGGTTGTTGAATTGTAAATCAACCAAATGACCATCAATTGAATGGCCAGTTTATTGCCCACTTTTTCAAATTACCCTTCAATAATGACTTCGTGGTAGTAATAATAATAGTTAACCATATACTGTAATTTATTGGAATTTAAAATTATCTTAATTTTCACTAATTCAGCAGAAATAATTTTCACCAATAATTAAAATGCAATTTTGTATACAATCTTACGAAATTTATAATTAAAAATTTAAATCAAAGCATATCATTCCTTGCACATTAATCATTTTTCACCAAGTATTACCTTCACTTTCATTTTCTCTTTGATTATTACCTAACTATACTAACTGATAACATTCAATGATAACTTCTCCTGTTCTATCTAGTAATATCTACTTATAAGTCCCTAAAGTACTACCATTTGATATTTTCAAAAATATTTAATTTCAAAAATACCTTCAAAAAAAAAAAAAAAAAAATGAAATTTATTTATTTGAAACAAATCTACATTGTACAATATAATCTTGAATTACAAATAGTAAGTATATAGAGTGGATCATTCGTACGATCATCTAATACTAATCGTAATACCACTCTCATCATTTTGATTTACTATTAAATGAATAAATACACTTAAAAATTATTTATATTATAAAATAAGATCTAATAGATTTAATGACATTAAAAAGCTAAGAGGTTATTATTATTATTAGCCAATGATATTATCCATTCTCAGCTTCTGTAAATATGAAATCAAAATTACTTGTCGTTGGCATTCATTCATAAACATTAATTTAAGCTAATCGAAGAATCATTTCAGCGGCTACTTCCGTTTTCCTTTTATTTCCTTAAAATCTAAAACAAATAATAAAACACAATAGAGCTACGGGATCGATTTCCATGGTGATGAAACTTCGTGACGTTACCGCTTATTCATTTCCTCGTTGCATCATTTGATGATAGAATAATAAATTTTATTATCTATTATTCTCAGTAATTTTCAAATCTTAATTATTACTCTAATTATAATTAATTAAAATTACTCTAAGTACAATTAAATAAACTAAAATTAATTAAAATGTAAAATTGTCTCTAAATTTTTTTTTTTGGCATGAAAGCTAGAAAGCGAAGTATAAATAGCACTCCTATCGTTACTTTTAAATAGTAATAATTATTAGGATAATTTACTCATAGTTACGGGTAACAAATAAAAGAGAGAAGAGCGAGAGGAAAAGAGGGAAAGAAGTAAAAAGTCAATGTGAAAAAGGAAGAGAGAGAGAGGAAAAAGAAGAAGAAGATAAGCTTCTTATATATTAACAATTCTTTTGGCTAATAATCTTCTTTGAAATGCATTCTAGTGATGTTTTATCAATTTTATAACTAAATTAATAAAATTAACTTCCTTTAAGCTTTTTCATTCTAATAAGACAACAATTTACAGCTGTGATACGGTATTGCTATCTCAATGTTTATTGGTTGCTGTAGGTAAGTGATCATTGCATTGCTCCGCCTTCAAAATCACTTCCTAATGATTGTACTGCCTTAGATAAGTTGTCACTTTATTTCTTCATTTCTTTTTTTTTTTTTTAAATTGTTGTCCTTGAAGATTGGTTAGCTAAGGCATTAATGAAAAGTAATATTTCATTTTTTCTTCATAGTTTTATAATATATACTGTATAAGTAGTACTAGGAATAAAAGAAATCTGTGATACTATTAGGCAGAAATGTATCAATCATATTTAGTGATTGCATCAATTTTTATTCAATTATCATTTTGAAATGAATAACATATATACTTATGAGCTAATTTCATTTCATTTGTAGGAAAAAAATTTGAGCATGTTTATTATTAAAAGTAAAATTTATTATGAAAATTTTCTCCAAATTTCTTTAAAATTATTTTTAGTTTAAATTTTTCTTTTAGTCAAAATATTTTTCTGTTTGATTCAAATTAATGTGAATATTGATTCATTCTAATATTTCATGGTAGAGCATATTGCAATATTATTTATCATGCAATAATTTTACCTGCCATTTGCCCGACTATATCTTTACTATTTTAGCTCACATCAACATTTGAAATAGTCTCAAAAAAGACGAAATAACTTAATCACATCCTTTTTTTTTTCATTGCAAGAGATGCTATTGCACTTTTATTTTCATCTGTCAATTTTGTGGTTTGTCTTTTTTGATCTAATTTTAAACAAACGAGATCAGATAATCAATTTTTTATGGCTTAAAGTAAATGCAATCATGTGCTACTATTTTGGTTTAATAATTGACTTTTGTCTGAAATTAAATAACTTTTCTAAATTGAATGAATGATAAATATCAGCTTTATATGAGATAAAAATAACTAATGTCATCGCAATTAAAAATTCAAGTGAATTTCAACAGATAGAATAGTAAGTGTTAACGAGTTTCTTCTCACCTTTCATTTCATCCGTTTTCAATTTCAATTTGTATATAATAAACATTGAGTTTAATATCATTTCAACAAGAGGTTTTTTTTTTTTTTTTTTAAATTTTGAATAATAAAACTGTCCAATTGGTCATTTCTATCTCAAGTTAATATAAAATTTGACAGAATTTTCTTCAATTTAACGGAAATTTCTTCCGAATTTTTTCACTACTGATAATTCACAAATATTTTCATATCTGATAATAAAAATAGTTTTTAAGAAGTGCACGGAAAGCATTATTTATATTCCGGACTGTCTTCTTAGCAAATTTGCATGGCTAAATGTGTGACACACAAACGAAAAAATACATTTCACACTTTTACACAATTTTCCCCTGAAATTATCGCATTATTTGTTTTGGATAATACCAATGATAAATGAGTATTAAGAGGAATTGTTCGTATAAAGTAAATAAATTCATTTCCCTTTAGAAGCATTGATAAAAAGAAAGAGAGAGAGAGAGAAGGAGGGAGAAGAAAAAATGACACGATAAGAAGGTAAGAATGTAAGCTTAGCATATCAGATGTGTGTACTTCTAGGATAGTAGAACGTTGTGACAGTCGTACCTGAACGTTTTTGCAACAGGAATGAATGATGTGAGCAAACATTGAATAGATAGCATCGAGATAGCTTTAAAAATTTGAAAAAATTGAAACTTAAAATGAAAGTAAAACTAAAAGTGTGAATAAAAGTGTCTAATAAAATGTACTATTATGTCTTTTTGAACGTCTTCAATATATCATTGGAACATAAAAAGTTTTGTTTTATTTAAGATTAAATTGCTAAAGATCAAATGGTATATGGTGCGGTACCATTTAATCCATATGCTCATTTATCATGTCCTTCCGGTACCACAAACACTACACCAACCTTTGGCTATTCACCGATACATCCAATGGCACCAATGGGAATGTTTACTAATAGCTATTCAAATGGTTCCTTTATTATTACCATTTTTTTTTTTTTTTAATTATTTTATTCATTTTCAAAAATTTCGTTGCTTATAATAAATTATTTTTCTTTTTTTTTGGATTTCAGGAATGATTCCAAGAAAAAATCGACGAGAAAGAACAACATTTAACAGGCAACAATTGGAAATTTTGGAAAATTTGTTTGCTACAACGCATTATCCGGATGTATTTACTAGAGAAAAAATTGCTGAGCAAATACAATTGCAAGAAAGTCGAATTCAGGTTTTAATTTCCACTCTTTAATTTACCTAATACTTCTATTTATATTACTACTCAAAAATGATCCCTAAAAAATGATATATAATTTCCTTTAAAAAAAAAGCGGAATCTTTATGAAAATAATATCACTCATTCAAAAGTCACCGGGAATAAGCACCAAAAAAAAAAAAAAAAAAAAAAAAAAGAAATAAATAACTTCTGGCGAGCATTTGCCATACTTGCCAATCATTCTTTTTGTGAGCTTTGTCAAATATAACAACAGCTAATAATTTGACATACCAAAAATAGTATGGGAAGGGTTTCTGATGCGGGCATGACACACAAATAAATATTATACTACAATTTTTCATCTGTAGCAGATACTGTAATGGAATTTTGATCATAATAAATTCGCAAATAGGAGACTTTATTTTATTCTTTCATGATTTCTTGTTTCGGTTGTTAAGTTTAGAGAAGAATAATTTGACATTTCAATTTTGATTAAAAGCTTTGATTAAATAATGTTTATGGGAAAATAATCGAAGCTAATGTCATAAACTAACAATATGCTATCTTTTGTATTGCAAACCAGGTGTGGTTTAAGAATCGACGTGCTAAGCAACGACAACAGGAGAGACAGAAGCCGAAAGGACCACAGGTAGTTACGGATGCTAGCTCATCTTCAAGTGGTACTACAAATGCTGCTAGCCTGAATAATGTTCATGCAGATCCCATGGATAGTCCAATGAAGGAAGTTTCAGATGGAACAAAAGAATACACAGTGTCACCAAAATCCACAGGACAATTTGCTAGTGAACCTGAAACTAAGTAAGCAACTTGTAGCTGGAGTATAATTTTTTAAGGACATTGTTATTGGTTGATCTTATATTCTTCTGAGTGTTACCTATTTCTTAAGAATTTGACATGCATTTTCATTAATAAAACATTTTGTAATTTCAGCTCAAAAAATTCAAAAAGTTTACCTGTCAATTTAAGAAATTCAATAAAGACGGAAAAAGTGGACGATAGAGAACAAGCTTCATCTTCCACTAATCGTTCATTATCAAGGAGTTCTGAGGTGACCGAAAACTTATGGTCAGGTTGCATAGAAAATCCGGTAAATAATTAAGATTTTCATGTCCATTTATTTACGATTGCTTTGCTGCCACAATGTCCAGCTTAGATGGCGATAAATAAAAAGGATGAAAAATTTAATTTCTAATTTGAAAAATTATGTCAAAATAGTGGCGCAAATTGTATAAGTTAAATTATTATGCCACATGATTGAATGGTAACAGTTACAGATTTAATATTGAATAATTAATTGAAATCATAAAGTAGCTTTTCAATTCCTACTTATTATTAACCAATCTTTGCTATTTACAGACATTCCCGACTGCATCAGTGACAGCTTCATCATTGTCAACCACCTCAACCACATCACTGTCATTACATCAAATGACACTTCCACCACCGCCTTATCCACATCCTCAGGATTTAAATTCATATTTCTACAGCAGTCATCAATATTACCAACAGATGTTGGATAGCAGTGCTGCAGTAGCATATAACAATACCTATAATAGCTATCAGGCTGCTGCTGCAGCAACTGCTTACAATCAAAATTGTCCAGTTCCCGCTTACTCTGCACATCAGTACTTTTTTGGACCAAGATAGCTCAATGTCATCCAATATTGTCGGTGAATAGAAATGATTCCGAAAGAAAATCCGGAAAGCCTAGCATTTTTTTTTTCTTCTTTTCCAACATGTAAAAATATTAGAAAATCTTCTGTCTCATTTTTTTTTTTTTTCTTTTCTTTTCTTTTTTATTTTAATGACTCACAATTCTTTTCAATTCCCATTGATTTCTCTGTCTTTCTGCATTGATTTCACTGCAAATCTATTTATTCTATTACAAACTGTCATGACTTATATTGAAATCTGAAAAAGCAAAGAAAAAAAAAGAAAACGATGCACTTTGCTATTTTCTGGAATGCTTTTCAAAATGGCTCATTTTAATTAAATTGCATCATCCTTCCTAACTAATTTAAAGCTTCTTAATGAAAGTTAAACTTTTATTTCCATGCGTTCTGCCATCTTTTACCTGCGATTGATTTATCTTCAGTAATCTTCAGTAACCACTAAAATGTGTCATTAATTATATGACAAGGACATTTTGAACAAAATTTGAATGACATCTGTAAAATGAACATCTGTTGGAGAGGCGCAGACTTGATACACTTTATGGAAGTTTGATTGCTTTCAAGAATACATCTAATACACTTTCATTTCAATTGTGAAATATTTTGTCTGTAAATCATTTTGCTAGCTAATTATTACACAGTTTGTATGAATAAAAGTAGGAATTATTTAGGTACTAAATAGGATCCATTGTTGTTGTTGTTTTCGTTTTTTTTTGAGTTAAGTTAAGTATGTAACTCTTATCAGTCATTGTTTTTATGGTCATTAATTCAATACTAATCTTATTGTACATCTATTTCACAAATAATATCAATCATTCCAATCGTGATATTTTTAAGTCAAATTGCATTTCAATTTAAATCAGAAGTAAACAAATAATCAAGATCACTGCTCAATCATAACAATTTCATTAATATTTGATATTTTGATTGATTTGCTAATTGATTAGAGAGTGCAATTTAACAAATATATTGGGCAGTAAAAGAGCAAAATTTATGCATGAAAAAATCAAAATTCTGAGAATTTTTCGAATGATCATTTCCCGACAGTGTTACATTAAGACTAAATTCAGTGTTCAATAATAGGGTAGTAGAGGATCAAGGTAATAGGGTAATAAAGAATCAAAGAAGAATGTTAAAGAAGCAAATGAAGATCATACATTTTAAATTTATTCCTGTAAACTCAAGCCATTAAATTACTCGTGGTTAACCACCATCGAAGGAGAATGAGCAAAATGGCTAAAATTAATTTTATAATATTTAATAATTAATTGAGCAGTAAAAGAGCAAAATCTATATATGAAAAAATTGCATCCTTTATCACTGCATGCATCATTTCCTTGCACTTACAATAGAATAACACGTATTTCACGTATTTTACAGCCATTTCCAAAAATTCTTTGTTTGCTATATTTTAAGTGAGAAAGATTTTCGTTAAGGTTACGGACAATCCTTTTATTTACTATTACTGTTGAATAAGTACCACTTGTGACACAGTAATAAATCGTTCGAAAATTGATGGTTAGCAGAATGTCAATTGAAGACAGTAGCAATTGACAATAATTTTTGACCTTTTCATCAAAAGAAATAACCAACTGCTAGCCAACTTAAGAATTTGACACATTCGATAAGAGCAAAGATAGAAATTAGCCTTTATTGACACTTACACTTATGAGATGTACTAAGGGAATAAGTTGACAGTCACAAAATTGAGGGAAGTTAGCTTGACAAACACTAATAAATGTCCTCAAATCATGTTTGTCACCATTGTCGCATCTTTTTCTTTTCACAAAATAGATTACTTTCTAAACAGGCCACCTTTTTCTGATAATCGAGAAAGCGCATATTTACGACAACTTTACGCGTCAGCAAAACATTATTTGAAGATGTAATAATGTAAGGGAGAAGAGAAAGAGAAAGAGTAAACAGATATTGATGTCAGCAGAGAAAGAAAGAGGAGTAGCAATTTGCAAAGAGAGTATCCCGTCGGGAATGGTGAGCAGGGAAAAATGATGACAAGTTTGCGGTTGTTGGTTAAACTTACTTGGCTGGGAGGTGACTCGCGATCAAGAAGGCGAGTACTCCACGGTGAGGTCGGCCCATTGCACTTGTGGGCAGTGACTGACCCGTGTGGCAGTCTCGAGTTGGGACTCGCCAACAGCATAATTTTTGCGTTTGGGGACTGACAATTGCGCCGTTCCCCGCCGCAGGTAGCGGGTGGATTTTGGGGAAGGTGTGACCCAGCGAGATGCTGAGAGAGTCATTCACTTCGGCAACCCATTGCGCCCTCATTAGTCTTACATCTGTTGCGACCGAGTTTACGTAATGGGTTGTTCTATTGAGTCACCATAAGAAGCGTTCCCTTGCAAGCGGTTTATGTAATCAACTTCATGTTACGCCATATTACTAAGTTTTTCGATTTTTCATCAAATTTCCGATTTCATCAAATTCATTTTGGACATTGAGAAATCAGAATTCCGGAATTAGGATTTGAAAACAAGTTTGGAATGTGGGAAGTGTCGGTTGGGAATCGGACTAATCCCGAAATGCATAAATAACGCTGCTGATAAATTTAATATGTAAGAGTAAAACACATAAATTTTAAATATATGAATAATCTGCAATTCATAGCAACTCCCACAAATCTGATTGTGGAGCGGCTTCAAACAAAATAATTTAACAGATGGAGCAAAGTAGAGTTTGATATTTTGTTACGGTTCAAAAATGAAGTAATGCTTCCAAAATCAAACTAACAAGAAAATAATCCAGAATCAAATTAATAATAAAATAATCATGTTTTAAAAACCACCAAGTTTTCTTAAAAGACATGTAAATTGAAGCGCTCTCTTTGTACTGGTAACATCACACAAATTTATGAGTGGCAAATAGAGATCCAAATTGAAAGTCTGCGGATCAAGACGAGCCAAATTTAACATCTAGAAAAAATATCTGGTATAGTAATGATTTATGAAAGAACTTGCTGGAATGAAATAATTCAAGATAGCATGCTTGAATTTGCTAACTAGTCTTTTAGTTTAAATCTAAATTTACAAACCAGATCATGCGGCAGAAGTTCAATTATTCTTCGAGTAGCTGCATTCTGTGGTGCAGTAGCAAGCGATACCACAAAGTGATATATAAATGTGATTGTACTCTATAACAAATAACGAATAATTCCGCCTTGTCAAATTATGCATAACATAACCTCAAAGAAGATTATATATATACATATATATATCCGGTTGTGGGTAAAGAATTATTGTTAAATTTGCAGAAAACTTTAAGATTAAACAGTAAATTCTTATCTTTTCCAAAACAAAACATTTATCAAAAACCTTACAATTTCTCGGTCATCAGTGTGTAGCAATCTCTTCTTGACTTTTTTAGATCCGTTTAGAACTATATTAAATTTACCTTCAAATGTCCAGCTCTAGTCTCCCGAACAAATTTTTCAAAAATCACTAAAACAGAACGTTCAACAGGATTTCCCTGGTCGGTTTCGGCATCGTCATCATCATCACCTAAAAAAAAAAAAAACCTAACCTCCTAAAGCAAGTTTGGAGATAAAATCTGAAGATCACGATAGATAAGGGTCGAACAAAACCGAATTTAAGTATTATGACAAAGCACCAACTTCTTTTCCTTTCTGCGCAATCGCCTCTTACAATTCGTGTTTGTCGTTCTTTCTGCTGTCTCCAGTATGCATGCATAGCAAGTTGCAAACAGTGCACAAGGAATCGTGCAGACACTAATGCTTTTGGCTCTACGCAACCTAAAAATTACGAAAATAAGTACAAATTTTGGGAAGAAATAAGAATTTTAGCAAAATCTTTCACCAAAATCGACGTTCTGTTCAAAGATATATTCAGTGATGCTTCGAGCAAAACTCAGCATGCAAGGCACCGGTGACATAATACCAGCAGCAAGACATAATTCACTAGCACACAACATTTCATCATTTGTCGACAACTTTAGCATCGCATTTAACCAAACCTGAATAAGTTAACTTTTGCATCACTGTATTAAAGAAATCATAACAACTGTTACATATTCAATTACTAGATTTCGGGATTAGAGTAATATTTGCTGATTATGAGTGCATAAGTAACAAAAATGACTACAGCCTTTAAAATATGAACACAAGACGACAATGCAACAAGTAAAAATGGATGAATTTTATCAGCTTGAAAAAACGAAGAATATATTTTTGAATTTATTTTCTAAATTTCTTGTTAACTGAAATGGAAATACCAACCATGCACCAATTCTCAACAACACCAGCCTTGTTACATCTGTCAACGAGTTGCAGAACATTGGGAGATCCCCATGCTTGTTGTCGAGCATAAGTAAATGCTTGTTTCAACATTTCTGCATCCGATGACTATAAATGATGTGCTTAGGTGAAAGGGAAATTTTAAGCATTTTCTGCGAGATTAAAATAAATTCACGAAGGACAGAAAACCTGAGCGTTCGTAGCTGGTAATGTAAATGGTACAGTAGGCAGTTTTCTCTTCGCACAATTTATGATCCATGTAAATCTCGGATCACGCAAGCGATCACAAATGGAAAGATCATCTAATGTGCGGCGACAAGTAGCTGATGTCAACACCATGCTTGAATATTAGCATACTTTAATTACAAAAAAAATTTTGCACTTTCATCAAATTTAAAATTATCAAATTCAAAAACCATATGCTATAGAACTGAATCAAACAGAACTAACATAGAATTTAAAAATAGAAAAATACCGTTCTTGTTGCGTATGATTCAGCTGGTGAGGATACTCGAGAGCTCGAATGAAAGATTTCACCAGACTCTGACGTGGATTAGTTACAGGTTGTGAACACATCCACTGGACTAAGCAAACGATCATAAAATTAGCATCATCTCGAAAAGCGTGCAGTACATTCTGCAATTTCTTTCAGTTACATAGCAAAAATGATAGATTATATATGATCTTAAATTGATTATATAAAT